CCCCCTCCCTCCAGGTTCAGGGTGGGAAGTGGGGGAGGGCTGAAAGTTTATCAGGGGAATCTGCCCTCCAGGGGATGTATACTGTTTCCTGGTCCTGCCAGCTGCTCCAAAGTGGGCTGCCCCCAGTACAAATGCACATGCAGAAACTGGGGCAAAGCTGCACCCCAAAATAACCTGTGATGTACTCATTCACAAGTTCCATTATCCTACATCTAAACTTTGGACAAGTCCCTGCTTCTTCATCATATTACATTTATTATTCTCTTCAAAACCCTCTGCTATCTTGAAAATTATGATTTGAAGTCCTGTTCATTTTTTAAAAAAGTTAATGTTACATTGTGATCACTATTTTACTTTTGTGGGGTTTTTTTATCTAGTAATCCTTGGTTCTGGTTAATTCCTGGAAAGGTGTCCAGAGCTGTACTACAAAGTAAACTCTGAACAATGCTTTCCTTCTGCTTCATCCAATTTGTTTCTCAGTGCAATGCTAAGTGCCTCTTATCTATACTGGCTTTGATCAATTGTGCAGGAATTGATTGTTTTCCCTTCACATATAAGTGCCAAAATAGTTCTTGGTAATTAGCAATAGCAATCGTAATAACTAGGGATGGGCACAAACCAGTTCATGAACCTAAATTCGTGACAGACTGTGCCCAGTTTGTAGTTTGCAAACCAAGGTTTGTGCCATCCTACCCCCAAAAACCTTCTGAGTTTACTTGTGAGTTGCACCACCACCATGGCGCACAAAACTATTAAAACCCTTATATAGTTTTTGCAATCTGCACCGCTGCCATGGTGACTCGCAAATGAACTCAGAAATCATTTACATGCTTTGAGTTCACTTGCGAGTTATGCCGCTGCAGCAGTGGCGATAGCACGGCTTGCAAAACCCATTTAAATGGATCCTTTTAAAAAAGAACCCCCCCCTTCCCGCCCCCCACTCCAGGCAAGAAACTTTCTAACCTTTAAGTAGCTTTTTTTAAAAACACTTATTGCTTTTCTAAAACTACAATACTATAGGGTCAGGGGATGGGAACAGCCTAAAACTAGAATACCAAGGATCATTATTACAAAAGTTTGAAGTTGTTGATACATCTCTTTTGTCAGAATAGTAAAGCGTGAGAGATAATACTATAAAAATATCAAATTAAAAGACAAACAATCACAAACATTTGGCTGTACTTGTGCATCTTAATTTTAAAATTATACGTTTACAATAAATGCTATAGTGTAAATATCATTAGTTTGGAGTTATGCGTTAAGAATAAACATCAGGCTACCAAAATTAAGCTATTTTGCATTTTCCTCTCCTCCTCTCAAAGTCCATATTAGTTTTTAAATGCGTTGGGGGTAACAACCCCTAGTTCTGCTTCAAAATCAAAGGGTTTTGCCAGACTAATCAAACTGATATCAGAGTCCTGCCCATCCTTCTCCATCTTCTTCTGCGTCTTTATTCTCCTCCACTTCCTCAGGTCCCCCTTCTGGTTTCTGTTGTAACTTCAGGAACATTCGCTTTATTTCTTTCTCACTGAAATTTTGAGTTCCTTTTGCAACGTATACAGCTTGTCGCTAAGGTGGTCATCTGGTCCTGTAGAGGGCGTAAAGCTGCAGCAATCGATTTGGGAAAGTTTGTAGTTGCTTCCAGTCTGGTAGCCGGCGGTGATGTGCTGGCCGTTCCTGTTGTAAGTTTTGTTTCTGGCGCCATTTATTCTGCTCGCTGCATCATTGTCTACACAAGAGGAAAGTTCAAAAGTTCTCCGTAAGTCTGGTGATTTATTGTTCTCTTGCTGGTCCGCTGCACACTCCGTCATAATCCGCTTCCTTCAAGCCACCCTTTCCACCTCCCGCTTTACCTTTAAATAGCTTTTGTAAGCTGCACCACATCATGACCCTTCATGAACCTCCATTTTCCCCGGTTCGTGCCCATCACTAGTAATAACTATTACCAGTGGTCATTTCCTGCAGGAGTGCCCCAGAGCAGCGCTCCTGCAATAAGAAGCCCAGGGGTGGGGTGGGTGGGGTGGTCTGCCCACACAGGCGGACGTGCCATCCTCTACATGAACACCAGCAACAATGTAGTCTACAAGCAATATGAGGATATGGTGGCGGAGTCCTGCGGCTACAGGTAGCACGCCTGCATCTGCCCCCCCCCACCCATGGGGAAAAGCGAAAACAAAACGTGGCAGGGCGCAGATGGATTTGTCGAGGGCTCGGGCCCTGGCAGGAAGAGAGTGAAGCAAGGGAAGGGCGCACGTGGCGGAGGTGCACCTCCCCCAGGGAAAGCCACTGGTTGGGGCGCTTGCAAGAGATCACGCGCGGCCCCCAAGGAAGCACTCCTTGTACTGCACGGGAAGGGGGCAATTAACGAAGGGGGCTAGCCACCAATGCGCCTTTGCACCACTTCCCTGCCCCTAGGTTGCTCAATGGTGTATGGAGTGTTTAGGCTCCTCCTCCTGGGGGGTATTGCCAGCGGGGTAGTCCTCTTGCCATAAAAATAAAGCAGAAGACTTGGGCTTTAAGGGCTTGGGAGAAGCGTTCATTGACCAGCCGGCAGCTTTCATCTGCGTGTGTGTCCCCCCCCCCCCATAGTTAGCAATCCAGAACAGTCCAGTGGAGCCTGAGTGGTGGGTGTTGCCTTCTGACACACTTCCAGTGATGTCAGGGGGTGTGGCATATGCAAATAAGTTATGCTAATGAGCTCCTGCACCACTTTTTCTACGAAATGACCCCTGACTATTACTAATGGTATTATCATGCCATTCACTTGTTCATCTTCCAATGTTATACATGCCATCAAATGTCAGCAATCCCCTTTCTCTCTCTACATCATAGAAACAGGTCATTGCCTATGCCAAAGAATAAATGGACATAAATCCAGAGTTAAAAACCTCATCACTCAAAAACCAGTGGGAGAACATTTTAATCTTCCAGGTTGCTGACCTAACAGTGGCAGTCCTCAAACAGAAGCTTCAAGGGGAGATTACAATTTGAGATTGCTGAATTTAACTCCCCTCACAAATTCAGAACAATGGAGCCCCTAGGGCTGAACAGGAACACAGGATTCTTATCTTACTAGTGATGCTAACTTTCTGCCCCTAAGAATTTGTCTTCTGCGCACTGTACCTTTGCATTCGGAGTTACTTCTTTACAACATGGGATAAAAAGAGATCTCCATTCCTACTTGTGTCTGACAAGGGGAGTTTTGACTCTTGAAAGCTCATACCCCGGAAAACCTGTTGGTCTCTAAAGTGCTCTATTACTAATGAGTAACAGCTAATGTTGTGCAACATAGTCTGTGTGTGAAATGAGCAATGATTGGGGAGTTACCCCATATGACTTGTGCAAATGTCCATGGGATGCTTTGAGTCTCAAACAATTTAGCTAATATGGCACAAGGCCGCTGTTTGTACTAGGATTACATTTTCAAAGCTAGGATTACATTTTCAAAGCTATGTCCCCATCTTAGTAGATGTGCATCTTCACATATGTGCGGTTGGTTCTTCACATCATTCTGTCATCCTTTACATTTTTCCAGATACCTTGGAAAACCAGACACAATGATTGTGCCTTTGAGGTCAAAATCATAAGTGCATTCTTAGAGCAGTATCCTTTGTCCCAGAAAGGACGGATTGGTAAGGCAGTATAGAAAATTGTCAATAAATAAAATAAGTTTCCAAGTAGCAATTGGTTTTGCATTGAACAATAAGTAACTTTCACAGATTATTGAGAGCCTAGAACTAGGATACCTAGGGCAAGGGAAGGTATGGACCTGGGTGATTCTAATAGGAGCTTTTAGTGCCACAAGCAGTATTTGACCCAGGACATATCATGCATGTTGGCACTGAGGGCACCTCTCTCTGAAGCAACCCAGTACAAGAACTGGATTTGGGACCAGGAAACAGCATACGTCCCCTTTTAGGGCAGAGTCTCCTGAATGATGTGTGTAGGGCAAACTTTATTTTGAGGTACAGAGTGCATGTAGCCATTCGAGTTCCTTACTCAAATCTTCTTTACAATATAGGTTTCTTGAATGGGGACAGTCTACAGATTCAGGTAGTCCAAAGATCCTTTTGGGGTGCAGCTTGGCCCCAGTGTCTGCATGTGCATTTGTCCTGGGAGTGTCCCATTTTGGAGCAGCTGGCACAACAGCTGGCACGAGAACTGGCCTTTGGACCAGGAAACAGCATATATCCTCTTGAAGGGCGGAGTCCCTTGAATGGGGGGGGTATGATATGTGGTAGTTCGAAGTTTATTTGGGGGGTCATGCCCTTTTAATTGTCCTCAATGTTTCTTGTTGGATTTGTAAATAATGAACTACAAAATGTGAATATGAGACTGGGAACTGGCAACTAACTTCAGCCTCCTCATGAAGGCAGAGAGGTAAGCTCCCTGACACACCCTCTCTGCCTCCACATCTTCTGGCTCAGAAATAGGGAGCCCTTCCCTATCAACTGGTTTGCAGGGTTGATATTTTTAATGGAGGTCATCAAATTCAGGGTCATCACTTCATCTGTACAATCCTTTTTTAAGCAGGTTGCCTAGCATTCAGGCGCGCAGCAAAAACCACCTTTTAGACATCTGAATTTATGCATTCAAAGAAGATGAACCTGAAATTCACTTCCAGTCATGTGCGCTACTTTTGGCAGGGAATTTTCATAATTCCATGTAATTTATTAATTTTTACTGCTCTCTGCTAAATGCTTTGAAGTTCTGTTCCTATTTCCTTAGTGAATTGCCACTAGCAGAATTTTGCATTATGAGGAAGGTCTTTGGCATCAATAGCCAAGGGATACAAAATGGGATGAGCAACAACCAAGCCATGAAAAATAAATTTGGGGGGGGGGATCCATGCAAGAACAGAGAGGTTGTGCTTTGTCTTGCGGCTATACTTCTTAATCTACTGCCCCACTGCGTAATCTTCTACAGGACATTTCTGCATATTAAGAGGAATCTAGATTGTGTTTTGTAAGAAACCCTGCATGCACAAAATACACTATGAAAATCACCACAGATGGGAAAGAACCTCCATCTGATTCCAGATGTACCAAGAGCCAGCCTGCTTGCCCACCCATGCCAAATGCAGCGAGGGCCCATGCCTACCAGCACAGATAGAAACCCAGCAGCCATAAGCGTTGCTTCTGGGGCAGGCACAGCACAAACCAAATGTTAATCCTTCTTCAGGAACCAGAGCTGTCAGTCACCAACAGCTGAAGATTAGAAGGTGCAAGAAGAATTCTGAAAGGAAAAACAAAAGCCACTTGGCCTTACACACAATACAACAGCGGCCTTTGAAAAGGAAAGCGTGGATGCAAAATTACTTTGGGAAACATCTAAAAAACTAAGGCTTAACTAAATAAAAAAAACAGAATGTGAGTAAATCCAGCCTAATGACTCTGTGTGCAAATATGGCTTGCAGAGTCCACCTGCTATAGCCAGCAACAGGGAGCTATTCTGCATTGACCGTGTCAATCCATATTTGAAGGAAGTGACAGTGCAACACTGGAAACAAACAGAGAGAGAAACAGCTAGGCAGATTTAATAGCAGCAGCCTGATTGCTAAATCTTTTTTTCTTTTTTCTAAGGGACAACACTATTACTTGAAGCTGCATAACACTCAAAGCACAAAAGCAGGCCTTTGGGGAGGGAAGGGGCTTACTTTGTCACCCTACTTTAGATTAATATAGATAGGTCTCCAGCATGGAATTCAGTTCCCTCCCTTGTCATGTTTATGATTTACAAAATCTTTATCTAATCCTTCCGAATTGATACAAATGGGGGAGAAGAGATTTATATCCAAACAGTGATGCCATCAGAGACAGGGAGGCAGGCATGGACACATCTCTGCATTTGAATGATAGTAATCATTTCTAAAATCCAGCTTAATAAAAAAAAAACCCTTCACCAAATGCTAATTCAAGATGGAAGGTCAAGAGCATTATGCACAGTTATCAACTGTGGCTGAAAGATGCACAGAACATTAGAAACGACTGAATCCTACAAATTTTGTTTAGTATCTATTTTATCCTGCCCTTCCTCCAAGGCACACAGGGCGAAACACATGTTTTCCCCTCCTCCATTTTACCTTCACAACAACCCAGTGAGGCTGAGAAAGTGTGGATGGCCCCCAAGGGCCCCCAATGAGCTCCAGCTGCTGGGTGGGAATGGGAATGAAACTGGGTCTCCCAGAATCTAAACACTGCCCCCACTCCAGTTTAGTTCTACTAAAACTATCACTGCTAATACAACAGAGGTGACTTTATTGTTTTTTTAAAAAGAGGGCTCAACTTGGTGATACATAGACAATACACAGAAGATAACTAGGACTTGCCCTGTGAAAGCCATTGCGAGTTTCCCACTGTAGTTAATAATAATATGAAAACGGCCACTAGCCTCACCATCTCAATTTTTGCAGCATTTGCCAGTTTGCTGCCTTTCATCCCTGGCCAATGGCCATGCAAACAAATATTCAGACACATACAACAGCAAGAGGTCAAAGTAGCTATCAGTGGATTTTACTAGTTCTCTTACTTCTTTAGACCCCTGGGGAAAGAAGCACAAGTGCATTAGAATCTATTCCCAAACGACAATAATGTAGTCCAGCGAAAAAGCTTCAGCAGGGAGTATATTGGTAGTGAGGACAGTACAGTAGTAAAGTACATTACTGCTAGAGTAACATAAACTATGATGGCTTGGGAAGCATAGGTACAGGTAAACCCAACAATGGAAACC